TTCCGCAAGTTAAGAACTCTACTTGGAGTATCAAAATCAAGTTTAAGGGGGGATGTTGAGTAGTAAACTTGATTTTTGGACTACATAATATGGGCTTAAAGATTTTTCTTATAGGCCCAAATCAATTAAAAGGCCCAACATGCATAGCATTTCTAGAAGCATTATCTAGAAAAATCTATATAAATATCTACTAGAAATATCTATATAAATATCTAAGTAAGATATGTAGTTTTAAAGAATATCTAGAGAATTCTAAGAAAATATCTTGATATGTAGTCTAGGTGTCTCTAGAAAATGTGTGGACTAGAATCTTCTTGTAAACACTATATAAAGGGGTAGTGCCCTCCATTTTGTAACAAGCCAAAAAAGTTTGTAAAGTCTTGAATTTGAAAAATACAGGTTTCCTTTTTTCACTTCCTTCTTCCTATTAGTGTTGTCCTCTTAAAAGCCTTAGCCAATCCAAGTTAGTAAACCCATCTTTCCTCCAACAATAACTAACTTGCAGATCTACATGAAGTAATGGTGAATTATGACGGCCCACCATCTGAAGTTTTTCGACTTGATCCTTGTCTCTGAAATTGGAAAAAATGCAATATGAATGGAAGGGCAACAAACAAAGTACTGAACCAAAGAAGAATTCAATGTTAAAGTAAACTATGGAATTAAGGTGTCTCCATTCTAAGTATTGACTATCCCTCTCCAACTCAAGTAACTACACGATTGTTGATTTAATTAAAGACACCAAATAACTTCGCAACTCCAAGAATTTCACCAAATCATGTCTGGACCCGAAGACTGGTTGATAAAAATTAACTTTACATTCCAGTTAAACAACTTTCCATAAGCAATTTTATTTCTTCTTTATGATATGTATGGGACGAGATATACTGTTAAGGCATTTATAATTGAACAGAATCTTAGACAGGTGAGAAATGGATAAGCTTAATATCAAGCATCCACCTTTTTTATGTTCCACAACTGGAAGTATCAAATTACGAACTTCCATCAGTCGGTCTCGTAGTGTTGAAGAACAATGGATAAAATACCTCTTAATGTGTTGTTGTTCCATGCCCTGTCCAGCAGGCTTCCTGATATGTACAGGCAGGGTTGTGCACTGTGAATAAGCATTGCATATGGGATGTTGTTTGTTATCAACTGAAAGGGAGCTAGCTTTCGATTCTTCTTCTCGACCTATTCCGTTAGGATGTCGAACGAGTACACTTCCATGTCCAATCTCAACAGACACCATAGGTTTGTCACTCTCTAGAAGCAATTGTTCTTCTGAAGTTGCGGAGAAGCATGATGACTGTTGTTCATGCCATATAGTATACAAATCTTTAGTAATCTTCTCAAATGGAGATGGTTTTGATCGACGGATGCAGGTTCTTTTCTTGGAAGGCACCATTGTGTCCCAGACAACAGATTGGGAAGGGCCTGCAAAGATGATTAATGTGTAAGCAATTCAATCGGCAGCAAAGATGTTTAATAGCAGGAATGAATAGTGTCTTTAATTCAGACAAACATCAAACTACACCACTCGGGGTTGGTGACTTAGTAAGAATGCAATTTGTAAATAACGAATAAGCCAACAGGATGGAGTTTGATTTGCAGATTTTAAGTGCCAAATGCGTAAATCATGCCTAAAAATCAAACAAACCTGTTAAATCACTTGCATCAGCACTGCCATATTGGGCACAGCTCTCTGGGTTAGATATGGCAGATCCAGAACTTGATCTATTACTTGTATCTTCATCTAATCCTTTACGGAAACCATGGTTATGACCAGGCGCAAACCCTCCAAATTCAGAAAAATCAATAGCTTGCTTTTGTTTGAGAACTTTCTCCCTTCTACTCTTAATGGATACATTCTCAACCTTATATGATACCCTAGGGTTCTCATAGTCATCAGATTCTGCCCTTGCATGTAGAGGAGTATAGTTTGCCAGTGTTCCCTTTGTTCTCCACCGAGAACCACATGCATTGCATAGAACTGGCTTCTCGGGTGGTCCATTGCGCCAAAGAGGGGTGCCTGTTTCATAATTTATTTATTGGCAGTCAAATCAGTGTCAAGCAATTTGATGAAAGAATGACTGGCGTCAGAAAATTCCTCAATGACAAATCAACATGCATGGCCAACTAATTATTGGTTAAATTTCAACAAGCACAATATATGGAGACGATTAAAAATAATAATTGCAAAGAAGGTAAAAAATAATTGCAATAATGAAATATTGCACAAAACTTTTTCATCATAATTAGAATTCTAAGATTTTTGGAGGATGGTTGACATTGCACTGCAAATTTCAGAATGTAATGGTATAATATCTTTTAAGGTGTTTTCTTGAGTTAGAATATCAAAAGGGAGGGTGCTTTCTTTACATTGGTAAAACTGAAAGCGAGAAACTGACTATATCAATGTGGAGAAAAGGAAAGGAGATTAAGATTATAGTCACTCTAAAGATAAAGCATACATCTTTAAGGATTTATGACAGTTTGGTACAGCTTGCTATCCTATATATAGGGAACGTAGTTTTGGGAATCTACTTATACATGCACAGCGAAAAATTAAAATTATTTCGATTCCCACCGAGGATCCCTTTGTGTTTAGATAGAAATCATGATAAAGATTGTACCTTTGACGAAGTCTGCAAACCTTTTGCTTTTCTTTTCGTTCCAGCAATCTTGATTCGCCACTCACAGCTGTCCAATTGTCCAGCCTCCAACGGTGATCCACACAGAGAATAAGATTGCAGCTACCAGTATTTTTCTCTTGTGCCAGCAAGAATAATGAAAACTATTTAGACCTCAAACCCTAGCAATGTATTTATATAAACCCAAACGGGCTCGACCCGGTCCGATCCAATATTTAATTAATCAATTTAATTAAAACCGGTCCATGAATTAATTAATCCAATCAATTAATTCGGGAATATAAATAACAAATACAATTAATTAATTTATCCAACGATTGTTAAATTAACCAATTGGCAATTTGCAATCTTCCAATTCTCTTTTGTGTGCGACCCATTAGGTTCCCGACCACGATGCCTAACGTCGTGAAATATTATTTTGATCTAATCAAAATTGATAAATTAAAATACCCTTTTAATTTATCGTCAATTCACACTCGTCGTCCTTGATTGACATTTAGCAATGTGTCAGGGTAATACATGTGACGGGAAATGTCACGTGGTATGACAAAACCAAATTCATTCGTTTACCGTGAAACTATAATCCCTTCGTCAATATGATCCGATCAATTATGAGATATAGAATTGTGTCAATCCCGAATTTCGATCATATCTTTCACTCCACTATTAAGTCAATATAAGTCGAAAACTCATTTTCGACTTATGAGTACACCTTGGCCAAAGATTTCGTTATTGACTTAATTGAATTGACGAATCCTTTATTGGTCAATCATAATCTCCTACTATCTAAGAGTGACGAATCCTTTATTGGTCAATCACAACCTTCACACGATTCTTGACGTACCCGAACGATGTCGTATTAGCTGCCCTTTACAGAGCAACATCCAACACCGCCAAAGTATGACTGTCTTCATATAAGGCACCATGACGACCTCAAGTCTAAGAACCAATTCCACTACCGAACGTTAGAGATTAACCACTGACACTCAGATAGTTATCCATGTGGAATCTCTTGATGGGTCTCCAATGTTTTGTTCTATAACAAAAACATCCACGTGTCATTTAAGTGTCACCACACTTTAACTTGTGAGATCAGTTACTTACTTTACAAGTAAGAAATGCCACACGTGATGGTCTATTCATAATAACGATATTCGTATCTCGTTATTACTTACGACCACGGACGATTTAAAATTCAATCAAATGTAATTTGTATCTCACAATCACAACTCCTTGTGATTAACAAATTACGAAGATTTGAATCTGCGGACTCTATTATTTATTTAATTGTCTATTAATTAAATAATAGATCTGTCATTAAATTGCATTAATTATGTATCAAAAGTATTTATGCCCAAAGTTGATTGGACCTAGGGCATAATACTTACAAACTTTCACTTGCACTAGATCCAATCACTTATGTATCTAATATCATAAGTCTACATGACGATCATGTTTGTACTACGACAACTCTTTGTCAGTGGATCTGCAATATTGTTAAATATGAGAATTTGTTCTTCTCTTTACATCATTCTATGTATTATCTATCTGATGAGATTATACCACCTTAATACATATTTGGATCATTGATGAGACCTTAGTTACTTTGCTTTCACAATGGCTCTATTGTTATCACAATACAATGGTATGTGATCAACAATATTAGGAACTACTCCAAGTTCATTTATGAATATCATGATCCAGATTGCAACTTTTTGCTACTTCTGAAGTAATCATGTATTAGATTTCTACTATTGAATCAACGGTTGCTTCATGTTTGGAACCTTTCCAACATACCGCTCAAGAGTAAACCAATTTCTCCATATAAAATCTTCTCAAGATTTCATCTACGTAAACTGTGATGAGTTAAGCAATTTTCTAGATCTACCTCTATAGATCAAGTTGCTTATCTCATATCGTTCATGAATAAATCCTTTAACAACCATTATTTCAATGATTGAAACATAGGGATGTCGTTTTCTGTAATATTAGGAATACGATAATGCTCCCACTATCTTCTTGTAAACACACAATTCGTCTTCAAATTTGATAAAATCAAACACTTTGACCTTTTCCGTTAAATCGAAGATTTCAGCTCTATAGAGACTTATCTTAACCTATAGTTACGATATGCAACTATTGTAAATAAAACCCGAATGCACTTCAGCAATGCCACAGGAAAAAGGTTTCACCAAGATCAACACTTAACATTTGCTTTTAGCCTTGCTTTGTATATATGGATATTCACATCCACATCGACCTTTCCCTTGTAAACTATTTACAAAACCTTATGGGTTTTATTCCATTAGGAGGCTTGACCAAGGTCCAAACCTTGTTCACATACGCCGAGTTCATCTTGAGTATCATGGCCTCTTGCTGTCTCTTTTTAAGTCAACACTTGACTTTATTTTGGTGCAACTAGTAGGTTCATCATCCTGGATCAGTAATACTAGACTAGTAATCACGGATTCGCACCTTCTTGAAGGTTGAATGATCCTACTAGACTCACATAGAGCTGACATGTCCTCAAGAGTCTTTTCTCCGTGATTAAGAGTATGTCCCATATCAGATATGGGATCAAACTTGGATTTATCTACTCGGTTAACTATATTTGTGGACTCTTTAATTCTTTCAGGTTCTATTTTGCTCTCACTGTCCTCTCCTAGAGTAAACATTCTCTCTAAGAGGACGATGTATCGTGAGACGAAGACTTTCTTCTCAAGGAGTTAATAGAATTGATATCCAAATATTTGTTTTTGGATATCCCATAAATATGTGTTTATCGGAGTTAGTCTCAAACTTATCCAGTTCAAGGCGCTTAAAATAAGCGTCATGTCCCCAAACTTTCATATGAGATAAATTGGGATTACTGTCTTTCCATAACTCGTATGAATATCTGTTAACCAATTTAGATGTGACATGATATAATGTTTTGCATACTGCAATCAATACATGACCCCAAAACAATTTTGGGAGATTTGAATGGCTTGTTATTAATCGCATTATATCTAATAATTAACGATTCCTCCTTTTAGATACACTACTATGATGCAGTATATATGGAGGAGTTCACTGCAAGAGAATCTCATTTTCTCTTAGATAATATAGATTTTATCTTTAAGATACTCTCACTTGATCGAATCTTAATGTGAGGGTATCTTTACCTATTTGTTTCTCTAATTCTAGCGTGAATCCCTTGAACTTTTCAAGAGTTTCATGTTTGAGTTTTCATCAAGTATACATGATCATTGATGAAATAAGAGAAACATTACCTGGCATCTTTTGACATGAGTCCATATGCATCACTATGCATTAGACCAGTAATTATGCTGACCTTTCTTCTTTTCAAGTAAAAGAAGATTTGGTCATTGTGCCAGACATGCATAATTTTTACTTGTTAAAATCAATTAATCCAAAGTATACATCTTTATGTAACTTTGGAATTGCATTTCATCTATATGACAAAGTCCGTCATGCCAGATTTAGGTAATAATTAGATTATCGCATTTATGCCTTATAATTTCTATACTCATTATAGAATCCTTAGTATTAAAGAATATAAACGTCGTTTTGTAATTTACCATAGCCATTAGGATCTTATTAAGATAAACAAGAACAACTATTGTCCTTAACATTAAAATAGTTCATGTTCGAACATGAAATTCATTTTAATGTTCCAGCTATAGTTGGTATAAAGCGACATTTCTCTAATTCCAATACTAAACCAAAAGGCATTGGCAAGAAATATATTCACACAGGCAATGCAGCAACATTTGCTCATCTCCAACGTGTATGTCAATTTCTCCCTTTCACAGTAGTCTACTGCTTTTAAGTTTCTCCATATTTGTATAAATATGAGATTTACATTTGGTATCAAATACCTAAGAAACTCGTGAAGTAGACATAAGCCGCGCTATATTCCTACCAATGACCTTTCATTCTATAATGAAAACAATGGTCATTAGATTTGATATTTGTCCTTCGCTTAGACTGTCTTAATCATATTGGATGCTTTCATAAAGCCCCTTTAGACTTCCTCTTAATATCTTTAGAGGAATCAATAGTTTGCCCACTACCAATTTTGATAAAAGGCTTAACAGTCCTAAGCATGTTAAGCAATTTAATAATTTTGCATTCAAACTTATTCACGTTAAATTCATAATAGTTATGAATAGCTTTCTCTGACAGAGATTACAGAACTAAGTCACTACTTAGTTCATGGTCTATGATTGAACTCAATTGAGATATTTCTCAACATTAATCATCTTCAGTGTCTAAGCATCGATTGAAGATTACTCTGTCATTTTGCACTGGTATAGTTGTTTGGAAGTCTCGTATCCTTCCACACATGATTATTATCATACAACTCTTGGTAATGAAGAATTATGTGCTAA